TTCTTCACTTACGAGATTCACCTAAGTTGTGATGTGCAACTTGTCTTCAAAATTCTTATTGATCCATCCTTTGTCAGGGGTGTAAGGTGTTACACTATTTTATTTCAAGACTATAAATTTCACATTACAAATTTTACATTTCAAGAAGATTTACTCGTAAATATGTTTTGAATAATCTGTAGTGTATCAAAATACTTTACATAGACTATATATATCAACTTAAACTCAAGTTCAAATTGAAAAAGTACATAATGTGCCATAATAATTTCATAGCACCTGTTTTCTCAACAATAATGTTCACTAGGTCACAAAGGATGACAAAATAATATACTCTTATATATGGCTCTAAAAATGACCAATACCATAAATCCCTAATTTTTAATTTTTATTTAATAATAAAAGAAAGAGAAGATGTTAACTGGAACCAACAATCCATTTCTTATCATTGTCTTTTCTTCTTTTTTACTTGTATATATTATATGGTTTTAAATTTCTCTTATATATGACAGCCAAAAGCAGTGAACAAAAGTACCAACAAAGACATCTCATACAAAATCAAAAGATATTGTTCCCCAACTTACCTTCCCACATTCTTTTCACCTTTTTCCCCTTTTTGTTTGTGCCTAGTTTTTTAAAATTTTTAAAATTAATATTTTTTCTTAGATGAATCTAATTGTCATTCTAAATTGTCCTTTAATCTTCTAATATCCTCACCTTTTACACCCCTAAATACTCCTAAATCCTGATCCTTAACTTTTAGGTTACTGTTTTCATCTTTTTCTTTTTCACCTTTTTTTAAAAAATAAAAAAAATAAAAAATTGAGATTTTCTTTTATTATGATAATTTGTCCCCACCAACTTATGAATATATATCAGTACAAAAGTTAGATGAGAAAATGCAACTCACATGGAGCAACTCTTTTTTAACTTATGGTAAGTCTTGGCATGCAGCTGTACTTCCATTGCAATAAAGCCATGAGACAAGCAAATAAAATAAAATAACTTTTTTTATTTTGTATTTTTAACCATTTAAAATTTTAAATAATTCAACTCATACAACTTAATACGGTCCAAGTAGATAGATATATATCATGTGTTCATACAAAAAAATTTACTTGTTACTGTCGCTGATTATAATATAGCAATAATTATATTATTACCACTCAATTCTTCATTTATTCTAGTGATTTTATGTCAACTTCGTGATAAAAATCATGATTACACATTGGTTATATGCCTCTCAAAATAGGACTAAGAAATCACAAAACATTAAGAATATAATGTTTAATGTAACTATATATCCAAATGCAAATTTTCGTAATGATTCCTCCATCTTTAATTAGAGATTTCGAGTTTTTGTCTTGGGTAAACAAAATCTCCTTGAGAGTGTCACCTCCATAAATGAACCCTACAATGCGTGAATTCAAATTTAATCTGATTCCAATACAAATATCTAATACCAAAGGAAAATCAAGAAGATAAAAAAATTACTCCCTCCGTCCCATTTTATATGTCACATTTTTTACTTTGCACTTGCATTAAGAAATGATGTAACTTTACCCTTCTACCCTTATTTAATGTTTTCTTAAGTCAACTTTATTAATAAATGACAATTAATTAACTATTCTATCAAGGGTATAATAGGTAAAATATGGTAATTTATGCATAAATTTTATAAAATGATAAGTTTGTGGTCCAACTATTTATAAAAAGGGATGACATATAAAATGGGACGGAGGGAGTAATTTTTTTATCTTCTTGATTTTCCTTTGGTATTAGATATTTGTATTGGAATCAGATTAAATTTGAATTCACGCATTGTAGGGTTCATTTATGGAGGTGACACTCTCAAGGAGATTTTGTTTACCCAAGACAAAAACTCGAAATCTCTAATTAAAGATGGAGGAATCATTACGAAAATTTGCATTTGGATATATAGTTACATTAAACATTATATTCTTAATGTTTTGTGATTTCTTAGTCCTATTTTGAGAGGCATATAACCAATGTGTAATCATGATTTTTATCACGAAGTTGACATAAAATCACTAGAATAAATGAAGAATTGAGTGGTAATAATATAATTATTGCTATATTATAATCAGCGACAGTAACAAGTAAATTTTTTTGTATGAACACATGATATATATCTATCTACTTGGACCGTATTAAGTTGTATGAGTTGAATTATTTAAAATTTTAAATGGTTAAAAATACAAAATAAAAAAAGTTATTTTATTTTATTTGCTTGTCTCATGGCTTTATTGCAATGGAAGTACAGCTGCATGCCAAGACTTACCATAAGTTAAAAAAGAGTTGCTCCATGTGAGTTGCATTTTCTCATCTAACTTTTGTACTGATATATATTCATAAGTTGGTATTACAAAGGAGATGTTATCTCCCCTCCCATTTTCCTTTCTCTTACCCCTATGTAATTAGAAAAAAAATACGTTTCTCTGCTTTAAAATACTCCTAATTATTTGGTGGGTTGATGGGTAAGTGATCTATATTTTATAAAAAATTACAATATTTTATTTATTAATTTGATATAAAATATGAATTCGGAAAAAAAATTACTTTATAGAATTGTACTAAATTTTCACATGATTTCTTCATTATTGAATTTCTTTGTAATACTTGATGTTCTATCGAAAAAATATCTCTACCTTCACAAAGTAGAATAAGACTACGTACACATCATCCTCTTCAGATTTCACTTCTGAAATTCTATCGAATATATCATTATTATTGTATTTAATATGCCCCATATGCAAAAAGAAAACAACCTTGTGTTTGTTCATTGTTGTGTTGCGACTAGGTCAACAAAAACAAAAGTATACATGAAATGTCTAATAATTTATATAAAAATAGTGTTCCGACATTCACGGTACTTCAATGAGAAAGATTGACTAAATCCATGAATTATTTTATCATTTCAGAATAAATTGTTAGAACTTTGTGTTTAATTTTTAAAATATTATAAAAGGAAAATTAATAAAAATAAAAGAGAAAAAAACCAAGTCATTATGATTCTTTATTTTAAAGTGGGTAAAGAAAAGCACATGCAAGGCTTCTTGTGGATGTCTTTTCTTCAACCACAAAGTGCAAAGTAAACTTAGCTTTAATCCTCTTTTTTTTCAAAATTAATTTTCCATACATGCACTATTGTCTTCATTTTTGTAACTTAAACATAAGGTTATTGACTAGTAAGTTAATGATTAGATCTTAAATAATCATTAGTAGCTACAAATCACTTGATTATTTTTTAATTCTGGTATAACAACCTCTTAGCATAGAATCCATATATTTTACTTTTCGAAATCTTGAATTTAATTCGGGCAAGTCGCTAATTATTATGCCTTCTTTTTTACATTATTTCTTTGTGAATGTTATGTTTGACTCTTTGTCATGCCACTTCTACTAACAACCAATTGTAGCATGTAATGAGGATAAATATGATGTATAATCTCGTTATATTCAACGTTGATCTATAAATATTTTGTATTGTACGTGTAAAACTATGGTAAGTTAAAGGTATTAGAAAGGAGGCAAAGAAGATCTAAAATCACGTAGATCCTTCGATTCAATGAAGTAGTAAGGATTAATACATTCAATTCCAACCTGTTTGAAATTGAGTCGTACATGGTGTAATTAATTTTCTTTTAAATATTCTTAATAACTGCCTTTTAAATTCATGTAACTATTAGTAGGCGTTTGGACTTGTGATAAAAAGATTATGATTTTAAATCAGAAGTTATACATGCGATTTGGGAATATGATTTCATATTCTAAATTTTTCACAAACATGATTTGAAATTCTAATTTTTATAAATTTAAAACTTGACTAATAACTTTATATTTTATATATATAATAGAAAAACACCCATTATGTTAAATTTTACAAAAAAAAAAAACTTACTTTGGCGTGAAAAAGTTGCTCGTATCATATAAAATGATTATATTAAAAAATAACTAGTAATTATTATTATTGACTAGTTGATCTCTACAAAATTACGTCTATTTAAAAATTTCTAACCACAAACATTTATTTATAAAAGAAACACAAACATATGCAACTATCAATGTAAAACCTTAAAATATTCAGACATATTGTTTATAATTAAGAGGAATTTTAATAGTTTTCATAACTTGTGCTTATGAAAACAATTAACTTAAGTAATCCAAATTAGATATCCAAAACAAATTCCAATTTCAAATGATAATGAATCTAATAAACTTCATATCACAACGTCCAAATGAACCCTTAATTATATTATCAAAATTCATTAATACTTTTCATTTTTAAAAAAAATTGTTTTAATTGGTGTCCTTCTCATAGACCTCGAAATTCAGTAAACAAAACTAAAAAGAGACTTGCTCTTGTAACGAGGTCAAACAAATAAAACTACTTGCAAATCTAACCACATAGAAAATTTAGCCAGTGGCCGACAATATGTTCCTCCCTCAAGATGTGAACAAAATCCACTCTTTTCCCAAATCTTCAATATTTTTCCACACCACCCATCTCTTTCTTTTGAAATATGTAACACAGAGACTGTTTTCACAACACAAATCTATAACATTCTAATGACGATTATTAACTTTATTAGTTATACCAAGACTATATTCGAGCAAGTTATAATTAATAGTGAACAAGATAATATAGGGTGAACAAGTGGACATGAATTTACTTTTTTTGTTTTCATGCAAGTTTTTATTTCCTTATAATAAAATGCCAAACCATCTTTACTAGTACAAAATCTCATAGCCCCACTATAGACGGTACACCATTAAACAAATGGTCCATTACCTAGCTACCTGTGATAATTGTCAAAAGGGGGTTTGGTTTTAAATGTAAAGATGGTAAGCAAATTAACATGTGAATAAACAAGAACTTAATTACTAAAACTTAAGCTAAGAGACAAGTAGAGCACTGTTATTGGACATTATACATATCTAGTCTATTAAGGAAAGGAAATATTTAAAAGACATTGAATTAGTCATTCTCTTGACTCCCTAATCTTCTTGGACAATGGCTCTGGTGATGAAGTAACAGATGTAGCCACTGACCATGAGTCATTGGAGTAATCTGAGCTAAATGACACATCCATTACCCCTGTTGGACTCCCTGGTAATGTCCCAAACTTTCTCTTATTTGAATCAAAGTCAATGTTGCAAGCCACTTCTTGTATTAGCCTGTAACATTCTTCCACTTTGTCCTGGTACATTATCCAAATTTAATCAGTAAAAATAGAAGTAATACGCTTCAGTCCCAAACAAATTAAGTCGACTAAGTAAAAACTATGATATTGAACAAATAAAAGTGGACGATATAATTCAAAGTTCTAATTACCTTGACAATTCCAAGAATGCCCAAAAGTTGATCTTGGTACTTCTCTCCAATGCAAGGTTTAAGCCTATCAAGAACATGCAACATTGTGGCAGAAGCCATTGCAGAAGGAAGGTAACCAATGAATCTACCATCTGCCATTGACAAATTCCAAATCACAGTTGAGACATACAAGGGGTTGTGAGGAATAAAAATAAATAGTCGTGAAATACAATAATAGTCCAAGGATAAAATTTAGGTATCTTGTTTGGTAACGTATCGAGTCATTTATATCATAGTGATGAGATGGATAAGTTGACTCATATACCTTATGGTAATAACTTGTTCCCAACAAAATGACCCCTAACCGTATAAATTATAATGTAAATATAATTAAGTAAATAAAAATGTGTTGAGAACATAAACATGCTTACCAGTAATTGTGTATAGAAGCACTTTTTCACATCTCCTCAGAAATTCCAAAGATAAACAGTACTTCAATCCAAGTCTTCTAGTTATGAAATCAAGAAATGAAAATGGGGTTACTGGATTCATCTTCCATTTAAGTGTAGACAGAACCAACATCTCCATTCTCTGTATTGTTTTAGATTCAAACACAAATCTTGATTTCTCAACCTATAAAAGAAAACCCCAAATCACTCAAACATGATCATATAAACAAATTTACAAGATCCATCAAAATACTACTAAAAAAAATTCTTGAAAACATACTTGGAGGTCAAGAAGCAGAGGAACATCAGTTTCTTCAACTTTAGCAGCTAATGAAAGACAAGTCACAGCAACAAGTTGATTCATCCATGGCTTATGATTCAGAGACTGATTAAAACTAAATAAGAGAAATCTATCAAAGTAATTAACTGCAAGAAATGCAGTTTGTGCAGAAAATGAGTAATAAGCAGTTGTTTTGAGTATCCACTCAACTGATTCTCTTCTTGCTGAAATAAAAGATTGGTCTTTTTCTAACACATTGTAGCTTATTTCATACTCTGTTTCTTTAGAAAACAGAGAGGTAAGTTCTTCTTCTTCCCATAACAAGTCATGTGAAGAAAAACTCTCTGTTTCTACTGATACTTCAGTGAGAATATCTTCTTCACAGTAAAGTGAATCTAATAAAAATGGGATCTTTTGTTCTTCTTGTTCTTGATAATGGTGAGACATTATCTTCTTCTGAGAAGAAGAAATTTAGTTGTGTTTTCATTTACTTCATACTAATTCAAGAAACTGAAAAAAAAATGAGAAGATGAAAAATAAACTTGTTGATAGTGTTGTGAAGAGAAGAAGAAGAGAGTAGAGAAGAGGAAAATGGGGAATGAAGGAGATTGGGAGGAAGATTGTGTTTTTATTTTGGGTATTTCGATTGTTTTTTGCTGTGTTTTTTTTTTTATTATTGAATTGAATTTATGGATTTTATTATTTTTGGGTGTATGTGTATAGAAGGATACTAGAGGAGTATATAGAAGAAGAAAACTTATGGGATCATGCATGATAATTACTCCACACGTGAGGTTCGTGTGTGTTACCAATCTGATTGGGACCCAATTATAATAAGAGGCCTAATATCGTATGAAAAGTTTGACCACTAGTAAAACTGTCAAAAATTCTAATAAAAATAATAAATATTTATTTATTTTTAATCAATAATTTTGTATTCTAATTTTGAGTATATAATGATTTTTAATAAAAATATTTTCTAAAAGTAAACATCGAAAAAATGAGAGTGAACCAAGAAAAAAAGAGAGTGTAAGCAATAGTAATTAAGGGTGGACCAATTGACAAGTAAGGCTAGCTCTAGTAGATCGTCAATTGAAGTTTGAGTTATACTAAAGGATAGTTTCGAATTTTTGATTCAAGTAAGTTATTATTAAATTAATTTATTAAAATAATATGTTTTTTTTTTAATTTTATAAAGTTAGAATAAATGTATTTGACACTAACATTTTAGTATTATTTGATTACTTTTCATTTTACACAGTGTTTGAAAAATCATAAATAAGAAAATAATTTTACGAATTCATCCCTTAAAAAACTTTTTGAAAAATTTATAAACAAATGTGAATACTTTCAAAAAGAATTAATTGCAAGGGTAATATTAGAAAATTTTAATTAATATTTGCTTAATTTAATAAGGTCGACAATTAATATGAGACAATTATTTTCAGTATAATAATAACTAAGATGGGAAGGAGGGAGTAAATAAGAATACTATCATAAATTTTTTTGATAGGGTGGACATGGTTTAAAAAAAAGGTGGACCAATTGATTCTCAATATTCTCATTAATTCGTGTACAATATTTCTATGATAGGTATTCTCTCTAAAAACATTTCAATTATTATACTTTATTATAATTGAATGATACGCGGTAATTAATTTAATGTTGACCATCTCCAAGCATCAATGTTAATGTAGCTAATTTTAATAATGATGAGTTAATACTCATCTTTTAATTTGTATGTGCATGATCCATGCCGGATTAAAGCTCGATCCTTAATTAAAGATCCAGATCATTATGGATAAATTATAATATACTACAACTGATCTAAACAGAGAATTACTTAATTTGAAACATAATAGAGGTGATTACTAACTAATCAAGATTAACATAGAGAAAATCCATTAAAGAAGGTAATTATTCATTAAGACATTTTGATTTCTCGTGAATATATGTTTACCTTGTTACTATGCCCCTAGCAATGGTAGATAGAATATAAATTAATGGGTTCAATTAATTCAAATCATTTGAAATAGAGCATAAATATATGTGTTAAATCTACTAAATCAACAAATATTATTTTTCAAATCTTAAAATTTCAAACATAACGTATATTGTGGTAAAACATAAAGGTTGACTATTACTAAATTTTAAATTCAGAGTTTGTCTCCCTATGTTATATTTTAAGTAAATAGAATAGTTAACTGAAACGCACAAAAATAAAATACAGTAAAAGCAGAATTATAAACATTTCCTTAATTTATTTTTATTAGTATAAAGGTTAGACATTCAAATTACGATATATTTCAATTGAGCATCTGCATATCTTATTATGTATTTTTATTAGATAATACTTACCGCTCAAATTTGAAAAAAAACTTATGTGATTATTTTCAATTATATATATATAATAAGGAATTATCGATGTATTTCGCCTAAAAAAACGTCAAATAAAACAAGAGAAAAACCAAAGGTAACAGTTGACTAGTGAATGCAGAACACTGTAAAGTTTGTAGCAGAAATGACAAAATTACAGCTTCAACACAGAAAAGTGAGTATTCCCATTTGCCAACTACTCCTACTTTCACCTTGCATCATTAATTTATCATTACTTCCCTTAATTCTTCATATTTTTCTTCTACTTTTTCAATTATTAACTAAAATAATAATTATTTTTTTCAAAAAAAAAGAAAAGTACTTTATGTTATTGATGATATATTTTCAAAGTTACTCACTTTATACTATGGTGGAATAGTCATATATACCTTCAGATCTCTTCTTTTACCAAAGTATATAAAAGGAAGAAAAACTCATACAAGTTATTAAACAAAAGAGAAAAAGCAACCAAAAGTTGCTCTGCATGCCTATTTTAGAGTAGATTCTACCACTCACCATCACTCCTAAAAGTCCAAACACCATTTTCGATAATACCCTAAATATAAAGTTAAAGTAAATTTCATACCCCTTTAATCCCTCCCCCAAATTACAACAACCATAAAAATATTCAGTTTAATCCAACAGGTAAGATATGAGAGAGTGCAATGTACGCAGATCTTATTCATATCTTTGTGAGGTGAAAGAAATTGTTTTCAATAATTGTCTCTATGATCCCCCATATGCCTTAAATTAGCATTTTTCATTCTTATTTGTTGCTTCATTAATTATTGCTAATAAAATCAATCTTGAGTTTAACTAAATCGAAGATATTAGTTTTAGTATTCATGAGGTGAGAATTGAACTAAACCAAGTCAAGTCCTGGTCCTTAATCTAAAAATGTGAGAATCCAACACTAATTTTACGCTTCGTGTTGGAGCATGTTGTATCTCATCTAAATTCTAAAGTTGTCATGAAAATACTATACTTTATATATTTAGATGTATTTTTGAATACATCATCATCTCATTTGTGTGTGTGTTTTTTAATAATATTGGTCTATCACTTGAAAATTCTTTGGAAGGATTAGTGTCTATGACACTACTATCAAAAATTTGATCAGCTCTGACATTATGTTGAAGTATGTTGCCATCTTTATCTAAAACTTAAGCGTTCAAATAAGTTTTTCATACACTATTTAACTTATCATTTATAAGCGTGTTTCTCAATAAGTTAGTCAACCATACTAGACCAACATGGTTCTCTCAAACGTCCTAATATACCTGAGTATCGCCTTAATTATTTTAACGCGTAGTTAGTAACTACACTTAAATTCTAAGTAAACGTTTGCAACATATCTCCATTGACAATATCCAAACCTCAATAAATTTTACTTACAAAATGAAGCAACCTGTCTATCTAACACTAACATTGTCATTAATTGATTCTTTTTTCCATGTCCAATATATTGTCAAGTGTAAAATGCCACCAAACAAAATTATAGAAGGAATTCCAGTTTCCCAATGCCTTTGGTTACTGTCTCTGTCACTGTAACTTCTTTTTTGTACAAATAAAGCTGAAAGTAAAATAATGTGTGTGTAAGTAGACTAGTTGGGAGAATAGAACAAGACAGCATATTTTTAGAAACAGAATAAAGGAGGGAAAATGGGTAGATGTATTTGCCAAAAATATACGTATATGTATAAATTAATTAACTACAAGAGACATAATAAATGCAAATGTACATGTTGTGGACTTGTGGCAGGGATGTAAGATAAGGTTCGATCGAATTTAATAGATTTGTGTTAATGGCACAAGGGACTTATTCGAACCTATTTCGTTGAAAATTGAATTGTATGCACAATATTATTTCTTCTGATTCAATTTAATTGTCTGACTTTAACTTGATACGGAGTATAAGAAAGTGTAACATGTAAAATGTAACAAAATATTTGTTAATTTTTTCATCTTAAATATGTCATATGAAAATTTAAAATTGGAAACCAAAACATGAAGGGAATATTTTTTTTTAATGTATAAATTGTAGATGTGTAATTTTATTTTTTTACCTTTTCTGTGTGTTTATATTTTGAATTCTGTAGATGAAGATTTTAGCTCCAACAGAGACTGAATTTCTGGTATGATTAGTTGCTTTCTTTCTTTCCTTTGCTTTTATTAGCTTTTTTTCTTCCCTTTCTTTCCCTCCTCTCTTTCAATGGCTCATTCTCCGAGGACTTTGGCTTAGCTGGACAACACCCCCACCCCCACCCCCACCTCAGATATAAAACAAAGAGAGAAGTATTAAAAACAATTCTAAATTTCACGTGAATTATTAGTTTCATTCTTGTATTATTGACAGCTTAAAAACATCTTTTTACTTGACTAGTTGAATTTAAATACACTTCAGATTTTGCAACATGAGTGAAATACATTTCTAAATTTTCGCCAAGTTTAAGAGTTTTTTGAACACTTTTCTTGATTGTTTATTAAAAATTTCATGCTCTTATAAGAGTTTGAAATCACTTGTTATGACATTATGACATATAGATAGTGTATCTAACTTTTGTGGGTCAAATATAGGAGTGTTTTTTAGGCTGTTAATAATTTGTGGATGAAACTAATAGTTTACGCAAGTTTAGATGTGTTTTTAATATTTTTCTCAAAAATAAATGAAGTACTATATATATATCAAGAAACATCACAAAAGAGATAAAAGAAAATAAATACCAATAGCTAAATGACGATATATGTTCAGAAGTTAAATATTATAAGTTCTGAATATTTGGTTAGAACTGTAACGAAAGTTATACATGCATGCACCATATATAAAGTAGTACTGTATTGTCATACGTGAAACTAGACTAGATAGATTATAATTACATTGACAGTATTTTTTTTGGTTTGCGGTTCAATTAAATTTAGATTTACATACATAAAAAAATCTAATATAGGAATAAAGCGTTCTATAACTAAAAAAAAAATTCAGTTTTATACGAATTCGAACTTCTGATTAGAAACGAATATGTGATAATTTTGTATGAATAACTTATGATGAATCAATGAGCCGGGAGTTT